CGGGGCGGTCGTAGCCCGGTGCTAACCCGCCGCCGCTTTGTGTCTTGCAGCGCGTCCGGAGCCAGTGTCGTGGCCATCGACAACAAGATCGAGCAGGCCATGGTGAGTGTCCGAGCGGGGTGGTGCTCTGCGGCCTTTGTCTGCACCCCGGCCCGCCCGTGCTGCCCTTGCAGGGTGAAATCCTGCAAGGGGCTGCAGGCATGGCTTGGCTAAGACCCCTGCCCTGGGCAGGAGCCAGCCATGCATGCGGGGGGCTGAGAGCAATGTGCTTCATTGCCTCGGCAGAGGCAGCTCTGTGTTGTGCGACAGGGTCTGAGATAAGCCCGGTCCCCTGGGCAGGAGCCAGCCGTGCCTGCAGCAGAGTTGAGCTAATGGGGCTCCCTGGGTTGGAGCCAGGTCTGCAGGCTGCAGGACTCACATCAGCCAGGTTCTTTAGGTAGCAACAGTCCTGCAGGCAGGGGTCTGGAATCGGCAAGGCTCTCCCAGGGACCTCGAAATGGCTTCTCCAGCTGGAGGCGGATCTGCTGTGGCTTCACCTGTCTTGGGGATAGCAGTGTAGTAAACCCCTTGCTGTGTCTCGGTGCCAGCAAGCCTTAGGGCTCCCCTAGCCCTGATCCAGGATGTTGGGAGAGCTCCAGTAGCACAGCTCGGCCTAGGTCTGGGTGCCGGCTCCCCTGAGAGCCCTGACCAGGAGCAGAGCTTGCGCCGGCCGGGGGAAAGGAAGTGGTAGAAGGGCTTGGCTGGGCTACTTTTGCCAGGTTCCCTTCAGGGCTTGCTGGGTTTGGCTGAAGGCTTGCACTTGTAGGAAGCCCCTGCTGAGTGCCAGACTGTGTTAACTCTTTTCCTGCTGCCCGATGCTGCCCCTCTGCAGTGGAGCACTGTAATGACTGCCTTCTGCCCCAGCGAAGCAGGGTGCATTCATTCCCTCACTGCAGTGCCTGCTGCTGCTAACTGGCTTCTCTGGAGAATTACTAACCCAGAGATTTATTTGCTTGTGGCATCCCAGAGCCCACTCCATCCCACAGGGAGGGGGAAGGCATTGCTAGAGGCCAGGCTGGGGAAATGGAGTAGCTAGCATGGGATGCAGCAGCTTGCTCACAGCTTGTCTTTTTTTCCTCCCACAGGATCTGGTAAAGAACCACCTGATGTATGCAGTACGGGAGGAGGTGGAGATCCTCAAAGAGCAGATCAAAGAACTGGTGGAGAAAAACTCGCAACTGGAGCGAGAGAACAACCTCTTGAAAACCCTCGCCAGCCCTGAGCAACTGGAAAAATTCCAGTCCCGGCTCCCTACAGAGGTGCTGTCTCCAGAGGAGAAGAGCCCCGGGGCAGCCCCAGCCCAGCATGCTGGGGGCTCTACGGTGTAAGGTGGCTCTGTCCTTGGGGTGGGCAGAGCCACGGAACTTTTTCTACTTATCTCCTCCCAAGTTGTTTCCTCCCTGGTCTCCTGTGGAGAACTTCCCAACCTAGCGATAGCTGGTGCTGAGAGATGCTCTGAGGGCACTGCCCGCATTGCTGTATACGTGACTGTCTTCTGCAGGAAGGAGCTCTGTGAGTGAGGCATTGCACTGGGGTGCAGCCCGAGCAGACAAGCCCACGCCTGGGAGTCGCAGCTGCAGGTTGTCTGCTCAACATGAGCTAAAGCAAACCCAGGGGAGTCTTCAAACACTGGCAGCACAAGGTGGCCCAAGGGGGTCTCTTGGCATGTTCATGGGAATGCAGAGCTGAGAGGGGCCTGGCTGCATGCCAGCTGAGTACTCTTGCTGCATCGATCAGCAGGTCTCCCAGTTCATTTGACAGAGACTGACTGCTGGAAGAAGCCAGTCATTGCTTAGAGAGAGATGCAAATCTGTCCTGCCAGCCACCCTGAAGTGTGCTGGGGCAAGAACTAAACACTGACCTAGCCAGCGCGCTCATGTTGGCGATTGTGCTATAATGCATGGCCTGTACACACAACAGTTTGGGGATTTCAAGGAAAAGCTGTTAGTTTTGGGGGTTGCTTCTGTCCATGTCTATATGTACCACAAGCGCGCACACAGATGGTGATGGCAGCATCTGCTGAACCTGTGTTTGATTGTGGGACATGTGCCCAACTTTATACAGTTGGGGCATGTGTGGGCCTTAAAGTCAGGACTGGCAGTAGGATGCTTAGAAGCTGTTTTTAAAAAAGGTGAATGGTGTTGCCTTGTTGTGGGTTTATCTTTTCTAATATGTAGTTTGCCCCATGGAAAAGTGGTGACCGATACTTTCATGCTGACCAGCACAGAGAGAGGCTGACAGAGCCGCTGGACACCCACAGAGGAGACATTTTGTTTTTTTAAAATAAAAACAGACCAAATGCCAATCAAAAACTTGTAATAAGGACAGAAGGATGGGACGGGTGTGTCCCATCGTGGGGCTCAGTGTGACAGCCGAAGTTATTGGCTCAGTGAGCTTCCCCCCTTCAGCACAACACTGGGAGTGGACGGGGCGTCACGTGTGACGTTGGACAGTCAGAGCGTTTATGTGATTGTGTAAATCTAGACAGAAATGGCAATAAACTCTACTTTTTTATAAATAGCCTGACAATTGCATCCTTATGGGAAGAGGGGTGGAGGCACAGAGCCTGTAGAAAAGCAGTGGGGAAAGGGTGTTTGGAAGATAAGCTCATGCTCACAGCCATAGTGGGAACCTGCTGGACTTGGGAATCAGTCCTCTGCTGCTGCTGCTGGTAGCTGTCCTGTCATCCCTTTCAGAAGCTGATCAATCTAGTGTGGCTGCCTTACCCCTCCGTTAAGCAGCTATTTCGGAGCCTCTGGGATCTGCTGGCTGGGAACTTCTGATTTTTCAATCTCTTCATTTTTGACCAATGCATCTGAATTTATTCTAATGCTAGCAGTGGCCTGTAGCTTTAGTAGCTCTTTTGCCTCAGTCTGTTAATGGAGAGCTGTCAGGGCCTGAGTAAGAGGGGGATTGATACTCATAGGGACTGAGGCTCCTGCAAAGCACTCAAGGAGGGAGTCCTTACTGCCTTCCTTGTGTGCAGTGATGAGACAGAGAGCTGGATGGGCAGAGCTTGGAGCTGTGGTTATTTTGGGAAGCTCCCCCAGCAAAGGGCGCTCTCAGTTCTCACCTGCAGCCTTGGAGCATGAGGCCAGCTAGGTTAGTGGTGCTAATATTGGAGAGCCCTCAGCCCGGCTTGTCCCCAGCCCTGCTGGAGGTCACACAGCCAAGTTTGGAGCACCATACTGCTACATACAGCACTCTGCAAGCTGAACTCAAGTGACAAAACATCCATGTGCAGCACCTGCTACTCCTCCTTGAGCACCTGAACATCTTGAGTTCAGAAGGGACTATTAAGGCCTTGTGAGAGGGACAGGAGGGCTGGGGTGGCAGGGCCCAGTCAGAGTTGGTATCTG